TTCACACGTTCACTTGTGATTTCCCTAATTTACGTGGAGATCGTGTAACGAGCTCATTAAACTTTCACACGTTCACTTGTGATTTCCCTAATTTACGTGGAGATCGTGTAACGAGCTCATTAAACTTTCACACGTTCACTTGTGATTTCCCTAATTTACGTCATATCATGTCCATATATTACCAGTGTAACTTAAAACATTTTCTGGGTTACATTCATGAGACCCCCCCCCCCTCCACCTTCCCTTAGTTTCCGAACTTTTGACTGTCGTGATTCTCCTTTAACTTTGGCCTCTCTCAGCTCTGTATTTCGGAGCTGGCGAACCAGTTCTGAATCCGTGCGTTACTACAAACTATTCCCGCAATTTATGCTGTGGTGAGTAACAGTCTATCCCTTAGCGCTGATGGTGGGCGGTAATAGTAGTTCAAAGGTAGGGAGGTGGCAAATAGTCGCAGTAGCATTGTCGTAAAAAGAAATACCTCTCGTATACACACACGTATTACTTCCGATACCTATAAAAATAACCTTCCATACACTAAATCAAATCAGGGTTATACTACAGCTATTGGTCTTTTAATTGATGCAGGTTACTTTTTTATTTTTATTTATGATTTCAAAACTGGTACACAGATAATTAATCTGCAGTCAGAGCTTGGATGCTGATTTTTGTTTCCTAATATAACACACACACACACATATACACAAAACTCTTCGGCTTGAAACTTTTATATATTTCAGTTCGGTACGTTACGTTTATTATGAACATGTTAAATATCTGTCTAAAAATCGGCAATTAAAATGTGCTGTTTTTCCGTTGATGCATTGTTAAGTACATATGTTACACGTTACGACTTAATTTTATATTGTCAGAACATTTGAGCTAGTGCGTTTATGAACGCTGTTAGAATTTGTTTTTATAACGATAAGGCGATGTGAGACCACTTAAGTTAAGGAACTGTGCACCCGGTAATGTGGGAATTGAAGGAACGAGGGCATCATTGTGAGAGATCTATTACACTTTGTGTCACAATGTTGTGACGAGTTCACTTGTGACTTGAAGAGAAAAAGCAAAACAAAAAACACTCGTGATCTTAGGGTTTTGACAGTACATACACACGTTTTTTTATCTTATTTGTTCTTGCCTACTATACTAAGAATAAAATATGTTTTCTGGCGATACAAAACGAGATACAGTGTCTCTTTTTTGACAGGCAGAGAGCGTTACCCTCCTCAGGCCTCGGCAGTGTTAATTATTTTGAAAAAACTTTTTAAACAATAAACAAAATCGTTGTTTAAATGGAATAGAAAAATACATTATACTATTCTCTTTTACTTTTATATAAATCAAAACCGAGATGTCTATTATAATAATCTAACCTAAAACAAACAAACGAAAAAAAATTGACCATTGTAAGGGCTTCTTTTTATTTATTAACTCATAACTGACAATGTGTGTACCCATAGCAACCAAAAGCTTTGGGGATATTCTATCTACGACGCAAATGTCAAACAAGGTAGCCGCTACTGAAAATGCAATTAAGGGTTAGGAGCTGAGTGGTTTAGCCCACAACGTTTCAACTCCTACCGACTTAGGCCCGGCATGGCCAGGTGGTTAGGACGCTCGACTCGCAATCTGCGGGTCGCTGGTTCGAATCCCCGTCACACCAAACATGCTCGCCCTTTCAGCCGTGGGGGCGTTATAATGTGACGGTCAATCCCACTAATCGTTGGTAAAAGAGTAGCCCAAGAGTTGGCGGTGGGTGGTGATGACTAGCTGCCTTCCCTCTAGTCTTACACTGCTAAATTAGGGACGGCTAGCGCTGATAGCCCTCGTGTAGCTTTGCGCGAAATCTATAACAAACAAACAAACCTACTGACTTTCGCTGTGTGCAGCCAGTTTTTGAAAGACATTCACTCTTACTATTTTAACATAAAATACAGTTGTTTAAATAACCTTATAATAGAAATAAACCTCCTTATATTTCTACATTTGTATGACTCCACTTTTTAAATAATTATTATAGTTTCTACTATTTCTCAAATCTTTATATCAATTACTTTTTAATTTATCTGCAAGTAATTGAACATTGTTGTTAGAAATATATTTATAATTAAAGAGAATACCTATCTCACAGTTAAAAAAGATATTTGGCTATTTCTAACAACAGTAATTATTTTCAATTACTGGCAAATACATTAAAAAAACCAACGGCTATAAAAATGGGAAATGAAAAATATACTTTTCTATAATAAATATTGCAATATGTTAAAATATTTTTATATAACGGAAATAATTACCTTTTTGAGGTTACTAGTTATTCTAGGTCATCCAAAGGTTATGGATAACTAGCCTTAAAATATTAATATTTAATGACTTGTTCAATTTACCGGACCGGAATGATTGTTTGTTTTGAATTTCGCGCAAAGCTACACGAGGGCTATCTACAATAGCTGTTCCTAATTTAGCAGTGAAAGACAAGAGGGAAGGCAACTAGTCATCACCACCCACCTCCAACTCTTGGGCTACTCTTCTATCAACGAATAGTGGGATTGATGGTCACATTGTAACTCCCCCACGGCTGAAAGGGCGAGCATGTTTGGTGGGACGGGGATTCGAACCCGCAATCCTCAGATTGCGAGTCAAGAGCCCGAATCACCCTGCCATGCCGGGCCAACCGGAATGACCAAATATAGGTAGCTTTGATTGCCTCAGCTTACCCTGGTTAGACTTGAATTCAGGATTACTTCAGGATTACAAGATTGATTCTCCTCACAACTTATGTTTTTCGTTATTTTTCATAAAATGTTCTAAAGTTAGCAAAAACAAATATAGCTTTTTATTACATCTTATATGCTATAAAGTTATATGCAGGAATTTTATTTTGTATGTTTTAATCAATTCCTACGTATAAAAATAAAGCCATACAAAAGTATTAAATACAATTTATTTCAACAAACATTTTTGTTTTTTTGTATGGAAGTGATGAATGATAATTAACATACAAGTATGTTATCATAGATCAACCTGTTTTCTAAAAATGTTAAAACAAACCATGATTTTATCTCATTAGGACGATACTCAACAATTCTTTCCAATGGTCGATGCAACCCAGAATGATACTAAACAATTCTTCCCAATGGCTGATACAACTCATGAGGTTCTATCTCTTTTCAGGGTGATGTACAACAATTCTTCACAATGGCTGATACAACTCATGAGGTTCTATCTCTTTTCAGGGTGATGTACAACAATTCTTCACAATGGCTTATACAACTCATGAGGTTCTATCTCTTTTCAGGGTGATGTACAACAATTCTTCACAATGTCTGATACAACTCATGAGGTTCTATCTCTTTTCAGGGTGATGTACAACAATTCTTCACAATGGCTGATACAACTCATGAGGCTCTAA